ACAAGATTTGAGGTATAATGCTCTTTCATTTAAACTATAAAAAATATGGGGTCAGTTTGATTTCATATTTTTCTAAACTATATATGTAAATTAAAACGTCCTTCCGAAACGGGCGATGAGATTTTAATTCCGGCTGCCGACAGTTTCTTACGGACGACCCCCAACCAACCTCTCCTGTTTATTTATTTATTTTAGTACCGACACCGTTCCAGTTTTGCTTGCTGTTCTCTATTGTGCTGCTCACTCTTTTTCTACGCTGTTTACAAAGTGTTTTTGTTGGGTCTATTTGATTAATTTCTCGACCTGCTGGACTAATATGTTGTTCTCGTGGAATTTTTTATTTTTTGCAACAATATTTATTAATTCATATGTTTTTACTTGTATCATCTATGTGCGTTCTTTAGGTGAAAATACATCATTTGCTTCTCAAATCAAAATTTCGGACTCTGAAGAAAGAGGAAGCTGACCTTTTCTTTGTACCTTCTTATGTTAAATGTGTGCGCATGAATGGGGGATTAAATGATAAAGAAATCAACCAGACATATGTAAAGGTAAAGATTGTTTATGAATCTTTAATATTTTCAAGAAATCAACCAGACATATATTAATTAACATGTTTGTTGATTCTTATGAAGTTTGTGGCTTCGAAGGTTTTCAAGCTCCTTTTGATTTCTCTTTGTAAAATCAGGTTTTACGCCAAATGCCTTATTTCCACCTTTCAGGCGGACGGGACCATGTTTTTGTCTTCCCTAGGTAACTACTTCATCCTAGCACACTTTGCAAATTATGTTGGTCTTCAACAAGATCACTTTCTGGCATTTTTTAAAGGAAATGCAGGCCACCCGAAACTTACTATTTACAAATTAACCACCCACTATTTACAAATCAACCACCCTTGCTCCATTTTTAAAATTCTCACTCAAATATCAAAATTCATGGAAAAATCTTTTTTCATTTTTATTAAATTGTCAATAGTTTGATTTTGGCATGTGTAAATACATTGATTCGGTAGTTCAAAAAAATCACCAGGGTGGTTAATTTGTAAATATCAATGCTTCAGATGGTCTGTATGTAATTATATCTTTTTAAAGATATTATAGTTATCTTTTATTATGCGAGCATGCTTCTTTAAAAATTATCTTATTCAGCAGTGGTGCTGGTGCTCATCTGTTTCGCGCTTGGGCCATATTTCTAAATAGGTCGATCATTCTTACCCCAGAGGTAACCATGGACTCTTCTTTGTTATTTTGCTTAATATGATAGAAATAAAAAAGTTCATAAGGTAGAAGCATTTAAAAATAGGTTCACTAATCTGCAATTATTCCCCTTCTCACAGGCCCAATGGTTAGAGACAGAAGAAACATGATATCTAAATATTTTTATCTTTATAGCAACTAAATGGGCATTTAAACACATACCACTTAATTCTCATGTATTTACATATCTAACACCTAAACATTAATATTTACATGCATACAACTCCAATCTTTAACATCATATAAAAAATACTGCCTTCACTATCTTCTTAAAAGTGAAATGCACCTTTCATGCATAAATTTTTAACATGGAAGTGTTTTATGTGAAAATTTCAAACTTTGGGTGCTAAATATGTAAATACATAAGGATTGTGTGGTATGTATGTAAATTTCTCTTTATATTAAAAGAAGTTCTTCCTTATCATGAGCCATCTTGCTTGAAAGAAAAAAAACGAAATTTTTGTATCAATATTCAGCTGAATGAATTTAAGAGTAGGAAAGGGGCTTGTTTTTATATTTTGTGTAAAAAGCTATGATTCACTTCCCTGTTTCTTAACTAATGATGGGCTGATATATGTTTAAATATCAGTCAGGTCTGGGTTTCATGTCTTGGCGCTGCTGCTACAAACAAACCAAGCCAACTAAAGTGTTTCCTTGTTCAAGCTTATTCATTCATTTATTTATTTATCAAGCTTAACCTGAATCTCTACATGAATTGAGTTCTTAAATTCTATTCAAAATCATTTATTTATTTGTTTTTATTGAGATTAACTAAAGTAAAGTTTTAATCAAACTTGATTAATGTTGTTGAGATCAAAATGACTTGCTGACTATAATTTATTTCCTTGCCCGTTTGTGTTTCGTGAAATGCTCATGACTGCTCTGTAATTGCAGATATGCTGAGTGCCTGAGATAAAGCTTATATTTTTTTTATTTTACATCGTATTAAATGCCATGAAAATTGTAAATATTACTTCACTCTTTTTCATTTTATGTTTGATTTATTAATAAGTACGATCAATATTACTAGAAGATAAAACTTTAAAGGTTGTGTGCTTTAGGAATATTATGCAGAGAAAATCTTATGAAAATTTAAAGGTAAATTTTATATGACCACACATAGGCTATCAGTGTATGGAATTAAATGCTGAGCAATAAATAGGCCAGTGATAGTCATATTAATTAAGTTAAATATTTAGCAAAACTAGAAATGATAATCAGGGAAGATTTATATTAAGGTATGGTGTGACTCATAAGATGAGTAGATAAAACTAGTATCGAAAGCCTGGAATGAGAGTGGTAAACCAAAAGAAATACAAATAGAATTGTGCAAAAATATTTACTCGGATGCGTGAACACCTATAAAAATCAACATGGATCAGCGAAGAATAAGAGTTCTTATAGTGCGTCCCAAATAAAATCGTGTAAGGCTAATGATGATGATATTTAAACTATCAAAATTAGGTTATTGTGTGTTGTAAGCCTTACTTTTTTATCTTTGTTCGATACCTATTTTTTGAATGAATTTTTATTTTGCGCTTCTCTGAACAAAATGAGAATCCATTCTAGAAAGTTAATGCTTTGTTGCAATCACAAGCGTTTGATAAAACCAATAATTAAGTTTTGATGGAATTATACAGGGGGACCGCACTGATAAACGACCAATAAGTTCTTTTCATACGTGGAAAGATATAATCATCCCTGGTAATGTTGATGATGGACTGACTACGTTTTATGGATCTAGGATCGTCCAACCACTCCCCTTGTCAAAGAGGAAGTACCTGGCAAACTTTTTAGGTCGTGCCCAGGGAAAGTTTGGGCGTCTTCAATTATTAGAGCTTGGCAAACAATACCCAGATAAGGTAACTTTCATCCTCTTCTGACATCTCAATAGTTTCGTGTAAAGTTTTGCTTGATAAACATATATATTAATTTTTTACATTAATTGTTACTATTTTGCTCCAAAATTGGGCTCTTTGTGCAAGTCACTGAAGTGAAGTTTATGCAATGTTTTCAAGCCATTTACTTCGCTTTAATGTCAATGAGATTCTTATATACTGTTTGGTTTTTAATACTTCATTATCAATGAAAAATTTGCCACCTTTCTCTATTTTGATTAGTTATCTGTTGATTAATTTATTTTTGATTCTATTTTGCAATCTTACTTTCTTTATGAACAGATATCATGCATAATGATTTTCTGAACAGTTAGAATCTCCAGAATTGCAACTCACTGGTCCTAATAAGTTGGGAAGGGTCGAGTATTTCACTCATTTGAGGAATGCTAAGTTCTGTCTTTCTCCACGAGGCGAGTCATCATGGACACTACGCTTTTATGAATCATTCTTCGTGGTATGCGTTCTATTCAAACTTCCTTTCTCCAGCATCATTTTTTTTTTCATTCTTGAAAAGCTGGCTTAAACTGTGTTTTGGGATCAGTTTGAGCCAACTATCAGTTTAGTGTTATTCTGGCATTTCCGTGTCCATTGAATTCAAATCAGTCCATAGGGGCGGCAGAAGCGGCATTGACCGCTAGGCCAAGCCAATGACTTCAATATAGAGGAAGGTTTACATACATACCACTAAAATTTTATGTAATTACATATTTAACAGCTAAACTTTATTGTTCTATACATGCCGCTTTGCTTATGCATGAAATGTGTATTTAACTTTTTAAAAGTTAAAATGATGGTATTTTTTATGTGATATGAAAGATTTGGGTGGTATAAATGTAGGTATAAATGTGATTTGGGTGGTATAAATGTAAAAAAGCAAAGTCTAGGTGTTAGATATGTAAATAGGAATTGAGTGGGTATGTAAAGGCCCCTAATATATATACAGGGTTTGAAATTATGTTTGTAAACTAAAATATAAATTAATCTCTTAGATGAAATAAGCATTAATCCAAGAAGAAAATGATGGCCGCCAAATATGAGAGGATTTGCTTAGTAGAAAGAGCGAGCAGGCATGAATTTTCTTGAAATTTTAATTAAATTGAATATTCATTTATTTTTATACAAACTTATTATTTCTATTTTTTCTAGCATAGTATATATGTTTACATTATATATGAAATATTTTAAAAAATTATCATTATATAATCGTTCATTTATATCTAATAAATTTAAAGAAAGCAATTTAAAGTATGTAACTATGTTGTATGAAAAAAATTAGAGCATTAATTAATAGCGTGTGTCGATACATATATAAATATGTGTGTGACGCCACCGTGATTCATTGTTTGGCGGCGTTTGTAAGATCTTGGGGGTCACTGATTCGAGTCTTGCCTCGAATTAGTCACATGGGGTTAGTTGGGTGGTCCGCCCTCTGGCCGATCTTATATATACATCCATCCATCCATCCATGCATGCATGCATACATACATACATACATCCATCCATCCATCCATCTAGAGATATATATATATACATATATATATATATATATACATATACC